GGGGGGAGGGGGGTGGTCGGGAAAAGCGCACACCGCCTAGTCCCGAATGGGATGTGTGGAGAAGAGCAGCGCGCCCAGGGCCATGACCAGACCGGCCACGCTGTAGAGGACAACAATACCGATGGGATCGGCGCGGGTGGCACCGAGCTCCAGGATGTAGACGATGGCCGCCGAGCCGATGGCCATGAAGATCTTGTTGGAGAAGGCATTGGCACCGGCGTAGATGCCCTCGCGGCGCTGGCCGGACCGGCGCGAATCGAAATCCACCACATCACCGTAGATGGCCGACGGGAGAATGAAGGACACCGAAGCCGGGATGGCCATGATGGCCACACCGATGAGCGTGGGGATGGCCGGGTCCGGGAAGAACTTGACAAAGGAAATGGAGAACACCAGCAGGGCCATGAGGATGGTGCTGAAGAGCATGACGATCTTCTTGCCGAAACGCTGGGCCAGCGGCCCGACGAAGGGCATGCACAGCAGGGCACCGGCAATCATGATCCCGGCAATGAGACCCGTCCACGACTCACCGGTGCCGGGCTTCACCAGGCCGGGGTCCGGATCGTTGGGAGCCGCCTCGAGGATCTGCGTGCACAGGTATGGCAGGCCGGTCCCGACGAAGACCACACCCATGGGCAGGAAGGAGGTGATGCCGATGAGCGACCGGAAGGCCGGGTTCTTGACCGTGACGATGAGCTCCTTGACGATGTTGTGCGGGGGCGGGCGCGGGGCATTCGGGTTCTCCTTGATCACCAGCAGGGGGACCCAGAAGCACACAAGCAGCAGGAGGCCGGCCATGGCGCCGCAGAACTGCAGACCACTGGCAAATTGGATACCCAGGAAGTTCAGCCCGTCCTGGTGGTTGGCCTGGAAGGGACCAATCATGGCACCGAGCAGGTTACCAGCAAGCGAGAAGAGGCCGGAGAAAGTGGCGAGCATGACACTGGAATGCCACATCCAGCGTGTGACGATCGGGGGGAGGGGGAGGGGGGAGAGAGAGTGAGTGAGAAAGATGTGTTTAAGGGCGGTGAGAGAGAGAGAGAAGCCAAGAAGGAAGGGGAACCGAACGGGAGGACACGGGCCGCGGCACGTCCGGCAAATGATGCGCACCGATCGGACTTCTCGCGGGTGATCTCCGGCGAGAGGGCAGTCCAGGGAGCCGTGACGAAGGCGAACGCCACATTGTAGAGCATGAACATGAAGGTGAAATAGACGGCGTTCTGGGTCTGGCCGGGGTGCAGGCTGTTGTTGCCGGGGTAAGGCGGGAACCAGAGAGAGGAGAAGAAGATGGCCAGGAAGGGGGCGCCGAAGAGCATGAAGGGGATACGGCGGCCGAGACGCAGGCGCGAGCGGTCCGACAGGTAGCCGACCGGCGGGTCGCAGAAGGCATTGGCGAGACGGCCAAGGACCAGAAGGACTGTTGGGGTCGGAAGAGGGGGGGGGGAGAGAGACGGGGAAAGGAGGAGATGTGAGTTAGAAAAAGGCACACGCGCGCAGAAGAACCGGAGGGCGAGGCTCGAGCACGCACCACCGAAAACAGAGGCACTGATGCGCTGGGGCTCGCCCGGCGGCAGGTAGTAATAAGTGAGCCATTGCTACGGTATTTGAAGAGGGGAGGGTAGAGAGAGAGAGAGAGAGAGAGGGGGGGGGAGAGAGGGAGTCAGAGGCGAGAGCGGCACGGGGAAGATTCCGAAGGGGAAAACCGGGGATGCAAGTCGGTGATATGTGGCGGGCGAGGACAGGTGGCATTGGAACGCACGTTCAGGAGGGTGTTGGAGAAAAAGGTGCCCAGCTGCGGCATGCCGTAGAGGATCTTGAGGGCCATGCTAGGCCGAGGAGCCGGGATATCCAGGCCGACATCCTCGTCCTCAAGGACCTGCATGGCAGTATCGGAGTCCAGGGCGTTGGGCCCAGTCGAGATGGTGCCGCCGCCGCCACCGGACTTGGACAGCATCGGCATGGCGTCGCTGTTGACTCCGGAGATGGGGTGCTGATTCCCGGAGAGGGTGGTTGCGGGCTTCAAAAGGGAGGAGGACTCCTGGCGGTCGGAAAGGAGAGAGTGGGGAGGGAGAGAGAGAGAGAGAGAGAGAGAGAGGGGACGTGGAATTCAAGTCAGGTGTCAGTCGGACCAGTCGCGGGAAGCGACGGTGTGAGCAGGGATTGGCCATGAGCACGGGGCACGGAGCGCGCGCGCACCATTTGATCATCGAAGCCCGGGGTGGTGGACTGGCGAGTGGTCGCCGTCATGATGCCTGCTGCTGATGTGTCAACGGGCTGGGACTTTCCGTCTGTCGGGGGGGGGGAGCATGGAGAGGGGGAGGGGAGAAAAGGGAAGGGAGCCAGGTGAGTGAGGAGTGGAAGCGATGGAGGTGTACAAAGGGGAGGGAGGACGGTAGGTGTGGCCCACGCACGCGCATCTGCATCGCCATTGATGGAATTGGCCGTGAAAAGGAGCGATGATGAGGAGGACAGGTCAGAGAAGGAGGAGGACCCATAGTTGAGGAGACCAGAGGAAGAGGCCGACGTGCCGCCGTCCAAGAGGTAGGCAGCGTGCTCGTCGGTCGAGCTGCTCCTTCTTAGGAGGGCGCGCTCAC